GATCTTCGGGAAAGCCCATGGTATTCAAAATAGTGAATATGATCACGCGCAGCACTGACGGGAACGCGGCGCGAATGTCGAAAAAGGTGTATCCCGTCTTGCCTGCACCTAGCTGGCACCACCAAGAGACAGCTCGAGTTTCCAACTCGAGAATATTGGAAAGCATATCGCGTCCAGCGATAAAGCCACGCTGGCGCTCGTGACATAGTTCTTGACATATACGACTGGCGGGGCGATTGATGGCGATGGGCAATGATTTTGTTGTCTGCATTGCTGAGGCAATGGGGGCGGGTGTCTTCGGAGAGGCGCTGAACACTTGCGTCGTCAGTTTCAAGGGTACCTTTGGGGGTGAAGACGCCCAGGGAGTGATTGAAGCCATCAGGGGGCTCTCCGAAATTGACGACGTCGACGTAGAGCTCGCAAAGCATCTGGATTGCCGCTGGACCCGCACGAGTCCGAGCCGAGTATGGCAGCCCATCTGGGCCAGCACCTGCGTCATGCAGTCGGCGCAGCATTTCTTCAAATTCGGGCTACTCGAGTTTCCAGAACACGACCCTAGGCACTGGCTGGATGAACGGCTTGATCCGCTCCATGGCGGCCTCGTCGACCGCGACAGGCGCATGGACGGACCCCCAGTGCTTGGCAAGCCTCTCAGCGGCAACATTCGGATCCGATTCGCACCTGCCCGAGCTGTCCAGGATGCCCGTCAAGGGGATCTGGCGGATGTTGGCGCTCCACACCGAGTAATACTGCATCATGCTTTGTGTCTTGGCGAGCTCATGGGCGGGGGGGAGCGAACCTTGATCGACCCCAGCAATGTCAGCATCGATGAGAGCCGCGGAGATGGAGCCGTGGAAAGCATGGAAGCCAGCCTCGTCGAGCAAGGCGCAGTCAGTCGCGTTCACGAATATGGCGAGCGCAGGGGAGACACGGAGTGCAAGCACGATTTGGGGGGATGTTACCAGTGGCCATGTCCCTGGCGACCGCGAGAGCCCACGAGACCTTTTCAGCGGGGGAGGCGGCTTCACGCTGGCAGGCTGCATCCATAACGCGCTGCGCGGCAGCACGAAAGATATCTTGAAATCCGAGCGCACGTTGATAAACATTCCGAGAGAGACTGGCTTCACCGATTTCCTCGCTCACTTCAGCCACATGTTGAGGGTAGAGCGAGCCCCTTGTGACCCATCGCGGAATCCTCGGGACCTCGGGAGGCTTGGCAGACACCAGGATAACAGCGACGGGGACGTGGTCCGAGGGGTTCTCGGGGCCCAAGGCAGAACCGATCGTGAAACTCCGAGGGTTCAGGTCCAGAATGTGAACGGAAAAAAAACAGATTCATGTAGATACGGTCGCTTCTTCCCAGGAATTTCTGGTCTCCTATGTGGCCGAGGTGCGTGCACTACATATGCTGGACTTCCGCCGGGCTGCCCAGAACAGCTTGAAAGTGGCGAGCGTGCGGCGAGTCAGCGCGATGGACGGTTCCTGAAAGGTCGCCCCTGCCCTCGCCGACAGGCTGGAAGTTGAAATACCCTAGCAAAAATGAGGAGCATACAGTGGGGCACATCATAACACTCTTTATGTTGTTCAGGGTCCGCCGCTTTTGAGGTTCGGGAATGTCGGGAGCGAGGTGGAGAGTGACGATTTGGAGCGCCCCCTTGGGTCCTCGGAGAGTAAGACTGCGCAGCCTGCCCGCGACCAGCTCAGCGCGGTCGAAACTCTCGAAGTGCTTGCAAAGAGACGGGGAGATGAAGATAGCATTGCCGCCAGCGGAGGAAGAGGAACAGATAGTGCCGTACGATCGAGCGCCTTCGCGCTCACGTAGCAAGAGGTCGAGATCTTCCTGCTGTCCATGGCATTCCTGGAGGCAAACGATGTCGAATTGTTTCAGCAACCTGTCGAGTAGTTGCACCGTGCGTGTTTGGCGAATGTGATCAGCATACGCAGAGGCAAACAGTGTGTGAGCGTTCCAAGTAACCATGGATAATCTTTCAATTATTCGAAATGGATAACAGGAAATAGAAGACGGCGGGGTACGCGAAATGCTCGGGGACGGCAAAACCGATCGCGACGGGCTGGAAGACGAGGAAGAGCAGGAAGAAAAAGAGGACGAGCACGCCGAACACGCAAGAGGGCGAGGGGAGGAGAGGAGGACAGGCGGCGAGGCAGCTGCAGCCGTGCACATGCAAAAATGGGCGCTCGCCTCACTCACGTCCAGCTCATGCAGTGTGTCCGTTTCCTAGCGCTTGATGGACCTGGCGATGTCCGCGGCGGTCGTCACGTCGGCCCCGGCGAACCCGACCTTCTTGAGCGCTGCCAGGTCGGGGACGATGACAACGTTGTCGGAGGCGTCCTCGCTGACAGCGCACAGGTCTTGAAAAGCTTCACCGTCGATGAGGAAGAGAATGCCTCGGGACCCGTTGGACCCGAGTTTCATCTTATCAGTCCATGTGCCCTTGCCTTTCATGAAGGTGATCGTGGACTGCCACTAAGATCCCAGGATCTTATTCCGCGAGCGCACATCATGAGGAGCACCCACACGCGCTCGCAAGGAGAGCTTCTCGTTCGTGACGGGGCCGGCGTACATCAACATCTGCGGGTTGTCACGCGAGCGCTGGACGAACTCGCTGGCCTGGTCGACCGGGCTGAACTTCATCGAGAAGCTCTTGTTCAGGCTGTAAGCTTTGATCTGTACCAAGTTCCGCTCGTGCGTGGGCAGGGTGGTCAGGACGGAGTTGGCGAACTGCGACATGGAGGCGGCGAGCATCTTGCGCGTGGATCCTCCGATCCACACCTTTGTACGATCACAATCAGCGTCAGAACGTCCCTGGTAGAAGCCGTCGCTGCTGGCACCCGTAGATCCTGTAGAGCCCGTGCCGACGCGGCTCCTCTTGCTCCTGTCGGAGTTCACGGAGGCGGATGACTGCATCCTCGCGGTCGAGGATTCGAGCTGAAGTAAACGTGTTTCGAGCTGCTGGTCCAGGCCTGTGTGCTGCGCCTTGTGGAGGGCAGCCATTGCATTCTTGTTAGCCGCTGTTGCATCTCGACGGCGTCGTGGGCCTGCAACGTCGTCTTGATCTCGGCGATGCCTCCAACAGCGGCCTTCACGTGACCGATGTCGGCGGCCATGTTCGTCATCTGAGTGAGCAGCTGGGCGAGTTGTGCCTCCATCGAGCTCAGGCGGGTGGCCGCAAGCAGCCGTGAAAGCTGGAGGGTGGGAAAAGCGGAACGAAAGCGGGAGGGTGCAACTCCAGGAGCTCACCGCCACAAATGGAAGCCAAGATGCAGACCCTTGTGTCGCGGGCCGAGTCTGCAAAAAGGCGCGGGTCACTGCACAAGCTCGAGAAGATGGCAACTTGAGCCAAAATGGCTTGAGCCAAAATGGCTACGGAGGAGGAGGAGGAGAGGGAGGAGGAGGAGGAGGAGGAGGCGGAGGAGGAGGAGGAGGACGGTGCTCGCGGCGCCCCCGCGAGGACGCCTTGGCGAATGGCAGCTCTCTGGACTGGCCGCGACGAGCGGAGCGCGATTACCTTCTCGCCCCTGGGGGGGCGGACCTCGAGAATGCTGCTCCTCCTCCCCCTCCCCTCCTCCCCTCCTCCTCCTCTCCTCCGCCCCCCTCCTCTCCTCCTCCCCTCTCCTCCTCCTCCTCCTCTCCTCCTCCGCCTCCTCTCTCCTCCGCCTCCTCCTCCTACTCCTCCTCCCTCCTCTCCTCCTCCGCCTCCTCCTCCTCCTCTCTACTTCCCCTCCCCTCCCCCTCCCCTCTCCCCCTCCCCCACCACTCTCACTCCAAATCCCATGCCCCTCCTCCTCCTCCTCTCCTCCCTCCCTCCTCCCTCCTCCTCCCTCTCTCCCTCCCCTCCTTCTCCCCCTCCTACTCCTCCTCCTCCTCTTCTCCTCCTCCTCAGCTCCAGCATCAGCATCAGCATCAGCATCAGCAGCAGCAGCATCATCATTCATCATCATCATCATCATCATCATCATCATCATCATCATCATCCATCATCATATCATCATCATCATCATCATCATCATCATCATCATATATTCATCATCATCATCAGCATCATCATCAGCATCATCATCATCATCATCATCATCATCATCATCATCATCATCATCATCATCATCATCATCATCATCATCATCATCATCATCATCATCATCATCATCATCACCATCATCATGATTATCATCATCGTCGTCGTCATCAGCAGCAGCATCGTCATCATCAGCAGCAGCATGATCATCCTCATCCTCATCCTCATCATCATCAGCATCATCAGCATCATTGTCACCATCATAATCACCATCATCCTCATCCTCGTCGTCCCCATCATCATCACCATCATCATCATCGTCAGCATTATCATAATCATCAGCATCATCATCATCATCATCATCGTCATCCTCATCATCATCAGCATCATCATCATCAAAATCATCATCATCAGCAGCATCATCAGCAGCATCATCATCAGAATCCCCATCATTACCATCATGATCAGCAGCATCATCATCATCAGAAGCAGAAGCATCATCCTCATCATCTTCATCATCATCAGCATCATCATCATCATCATCGTCATCATCATCATCATCATCATCATCATCATCATCCCCTTCTGGCCCTCCTCTGACATCGCGCGCGGACACCCCTCGAGCGACTCGCTCTGGCGACGAGGGATCCCAGCGGAAGGAGCACAGGGGGGCAGGGACCCATTTCCTGCGGAGGGGGGAGGGAGGAGGAAGAGCAGAGGCGCGAGGGACGGGAGAAGGAGGAGGAGGATCTGCCCGCAGTGAGCCCAGCCCTGAGACGCCCGGGCAAAATGGGAGAGCCGGCCGTAGAGACAGCCACAAGAGTACGGATGCGAGGTAAGGACGCAAGACCCCTGGGAAGAACACGCACCAGTGGGCCAGGCGGGTTAAGGGTGGGCCGAGCAGGCAGAGATGCAGGGGCAGCCTCACAATAGCACTGCGTATTATTCACTGCCGTGTTGGGCCGCACTCGCGCATGCTGCCGGTGCCTTCGACGCCGGCTTCTTCGCGACGGCAGGGGCCGCCTCGGGCGCGCGTGGGGCCGCCCAGGAGGAGAGCGGCAGAGGAGAGGAGAGAGCAGGGATCGGGTGGCACGAAGGGTACTCGGCGGCGAGCGCGGGGGGGAAGTGAAAAGGAGAAGGCCTTCCCAGAGGGCTCGAAAAAGTCCCCCGGCCGTCTGAAAAGTTTTCGGAGCCTTCCCCGAAGATAGAAGAAGCTTCTCAGAACGCGCGAGGGCTTCTGAGCGAGAAGTGCCGCCGCCTTCTTCGCCGCCGACAGAGGAGGGCAGCAGAGGAGAGGATAGAGCAGGGATCCGGGGGCACGAATGATACACCGACGCCGATCCTCGCCAGGATCGGCGTCAACACGTGGTCGGCGCCCTCATGAAAGAGAAGAGGAGGAAGGGGAACATCAGCGAGAGGTGCATCGAGAAGAGAACAGTGAGGACTCGGGCAAAACAGGACAGAGAAGGGGTAGAGGAAAGAGAAGACGAGGGATAGAGGAGGAGGGGAAGGATAGAGGAGGAACAGATGGGAGAGTGGGGGAGAGTGAAAGCCGTGGAGATGGAGGATAGATCACGAGTGTTGAAAGCAGTGGGCAGAGGGGAGTGAAAAGGTGAGAGAGTAAAGGGAGAACACAATATTTATGCTTCCTTTGAGGCTGCCATCTTTCAATGAGTCTGTGCACTGGTAGGCCCCCATCTCGAGGAGCGAGGCAAAGAGGAATACAGCCTGGCCGCCCGATGACCTGCAACAGCCACCAGGAGTGATAGACCTGCTTGCGCTCAGGACTGCAAGGACTTCCTGCACTGCAATAGTCTTTGCTCCGCCCCCCCACGGTGCGACCGAAGTGCTGCTCGGGCGAGGGCTGATCCTATTTGACTTTCAAGAGCCGCGCAGTCATTGGCCGACCCCTTGGGATTATCGGCGGCTGGGAACCCAGACACCCGACTTCGTGATTTGTGTCACAACGTCGACGCCCAGAGGTCTGGACCCCTTCCCCAGGACCGCCTTTTCATCCTGAGTCGTTGTTTGAAGATCCCGAGGCCCAGTGAAAGCCCCCAGAGTGCGAAAACTATCAAAAACCGTCCGTCGCGATTTTTGTCACGACGCGAGGGGTCTGGGAAGCCTGCCCTTGAGACATTTTTTCCTCGGGAGAGCACAATCACTCCCTCGATGGGGGGACGAGGCCCAGGAGAGCCGCTGGACAGGCGCGGCCCGCTCGCTTGGTGTTCGAAGCGCCTGTGAGCTGTGCAAGATCCCCTCGGCGGGCCTGGAGACGGTCCAAGATGACAAGCCAAGGCGAAGGCATGAAAGACAACGATAATGGGGGGGACTGGCACAACGGGGGGGAGGATATCGACCTGGAATCGGCGATACATCGCCGATAGATCGGCGATAGGCCACCGATAGCAAATCCGCACCTCCCTGGGCAGGGCGGGGCTATCACCCATATCGACGGTCAATGTGCGGTTGGGGGTCGATGCAAGCCCCCTATACCTATCGCCCCCTGTCGTTGCCCCTGAAGCCAAGACGAGGATAAAATCTGATGAGAATAAATCGGGAATCTCTGAGATCCGGTGGCTCTGGAGGATGTCTCGGGCGCCGCGGCTTATCAGAGCATTTGGAAGGCTCTGGAACGGATTTATCCTCTTCCAGGCCCCGCCCGACAAACCCAATTTCTCCCAAGGCTGCTCCAAGGCGGCTACCATACCCTTCTGGGCAGCCAGCGAACTCCCGAGGACACCCCCAAGCCCCAACTAGATGCAAAGATGCATCCAGGAAGCCCATCGACAGCCCACAACTGCCCCCATATACAGTGTCGAGGCTGCATGCTGCACGCCTCGAACGGAAGTGATCAAAAAGGGGGCCCGAAGAGCACCGCGGCAGCTCCAAGACGGCATTCGCCCCCCCCACCCCCCCACTCACCGCACCCGGACGGCCCCAAGGCGACCCAAGTGTGGCCCAAGACCCGCCCAAGACGGCCCAAGATGGATCGGGACGGCTTCAGGCAATGGAAAGCAGCCGGCCCCCTTGGGGGCGCACGGCTGTGAGGACTACTGCTGGACTGCTATATTGTGCTCTTATGCTGTCTTTGCTTACATGTGTTTTGTGTCACCAGTCCTGACTCCGTCCCACAGTCTACTGAGGAGCCCACGGCGCCGAAAGGGGGTGGCACTGCAGGATTCCAAAAGGGGCGCCAACTGACTAGCTGGAGAACCCGAGAGCTCTCCAAGACGACCCCAAAGGACCCCAAGGAGGGCGTCAAGAACCGAAGCCAGTCGAAGATGGCCCCAAGATGCCTCTAAGATGGCCCAGGGGGGGCTCAAGGCGCCCCATAGAGAAACAAGGATGTGTTATATGCTCTTTGTCCGACCCATGTTTGCTCTCAGGATGTCCCAAGATCGCTTCAAGACGGAGCCCCAGAGGCCACGAGATTGCCAAAAACGGCCTCGCCATGGCCACGAAACATCCAAAGATGCCGCCCAGGTCGCCCAGGATGGCCCAGACAGGGCTGCAAAACGATTCCCAGCGGCCCCCAGGCTAGACCCCCGAGGTTCCAGGAGAGCCCAAAGACTGCACAAGATGGCCCGAAGGTGGCTGTCCCCAGAGGCCTCAGGATGCCCCCGGGGTGGCCCCATGATGCTCAAGTCTGGCCCCCTACTTCGCCCCAAACTAGCAGCGAGATGGCTCAGCCTAGGAGGCTGGAAGCAGATGGCGCAGCTTTTCTGGTAATAAGCACAACTTGCAAAGCAAAGTCGGAATCACCACTTTCTATCTCGCTCTCGCTCTCTCTCTCTCTCTCTGACCCAGGATGGCTTCCAAAAGAGTGCCAGGGCTGTTGAGATACCCACCCCCCTCCGATTCCATCCCTGGGGAAGTTGGAAAAATAAGATTGGGAGGCGCCGCGCAGGAAGTGCGTAAGCCCCGCACTGGGTGCGCGACACGCAGAGCGTGTATACTGTTATGGCTGGGGCCTTGCCAGCACGAGAAGCGACCCAGCATGAGCAATCCTGCGCATCCGACGCCAGGGTGCTGTGGACGGGCGCAGAAGAATCCCGTCCTTGATTTCTCGATGTCACACGTCATCGCTCCACTCGGCCAACTCCCCCTCTGTCTGAATCGTCCTCCCTTGCGCTGCCGAGTACACTCTGCGCTTTGACATGGCCCGTACGCGGCTAATCTGGAGGCCTCCTCTTCCTCTACTTCGTCCCCCTCGTCCGCCGGATCCTCGGCTGCCGCTGGCTTCTTCGCGACAGGAGCAGTCTCCTCCGCCTCTTCCGCATCCTCTCCATGGCGGAATAATCTCGAGTCGCCCCATGGAGGCAAAAACCATGACTGCCCGCGCGCGGGGCATTCTCTCTTGCAAATGTCGTAACACGTGCGACCTCACCCTGAGCATCTCCTCATGTTCCACGTCTACGCCTGTATCAATTGTATCTTCAGTCGTTCCACGTTGTCGTGTCGCTGAACCCTCTATAGGTTCCCCAAACAGTGCTTCCACTTAGGGATTTCTAATTTCTGTTCTACGAATCTGGGCCACGTCTTCGGTCTGGCGGCTGCGTGGCCGCCGTCGCTGCCCCGGCGCCGCCTCGTCGCCGCCCGGCGTCTGGGCCGTGTCTTCGGTCTGGCGGCTACGTGGCCGCCGTCGCCGCCCCGTCGCCGCCTCGTCGCCGCCCGTCGTCTGGGCCAGCAAGTCGGTCTGGTGGCTATGTGGCCGCCGTCGCCGCCCGTACCGTCGCCGCCCATCGTCTGGGTCTGTGCCTCGGTTTGGCGGCATGTGGCCGCCGTCGCCGCTTCGTCGCCGCTTCGTCGCCGCCGCGTTTTGCATTGCATTGCTTCGCTATGCACTGCATTGCTCAACGACGATTGCACCGCATAGATGGCTACACATAAGTTGCAGAACCTACATTGCTCCACCTAGTTTGTATCATCTAGAGTCTCGTTTCAAAGAAAATCGACGTCCCCCCCGGACTTAACAGTACCCCTCTCCGTATTGCAATTTACATACACGTCTACCCCATCGTCCAACCTACATAACAGATCAAACCATCCCAGGCACACCGGAGTTCGGTCCCCACCACACTCTGCAAAAAAAATGCGCGCATACTCGTGCATCCAAAATTTTCAGTTTTCAAGAATCCCTTGCAAAAGATGGGACACGAAGTGCACACGCGCGCGTCGTCGCGAAAAAATGCCGAAATCCGTCAGAAACCGAAGGTTTCGTAAAGATTCCAAAATCGAGAATCACGAAAACTAACTAAACACATGGATTCGCATCGAGGGCGTTCAACAAAAAGCCTGCGCCCGCGCTCTTGCGAATTCCAAAGATAACCATAGGTTGTTCAACATGCTCAGAAAAAATACCAAACGGGCCTCTCGCGCGAGCATGTCGACATCGTTCGAACGCCCTTGCGCGCGTGCTGTCGCAAGAATCCTTTGCACAAAAAATGGACGACGTGCATGCGCGTGTCGTCGGGCGCGCATGCCGAAACCCCTCCTTATACATAAAAACAAAAGACACAAAAAAGCAGCACAACAAAAAAACGAGTAGGCTTCGTGAAGGATTTCAAAAACGAATGTCCCGAAACCTACCAAACGAGAACGTGGTCCAGTTACGAAGGGAAGCGAGCAAGAGCCCCCTAAATAAGGGCACGCACAGCGCGGTGGGCGGCAACGAGGCCGCCACGCGGGGGCAACGTGGCGAGACCTCGGCGGGCACCGCAGGCGCCGTGGGCGGCAGCACGGCGGCCGCGGGCGGCCGCGCATGGCGAAACCCCGGCGGGCCCCCCGACTGCGGCGGGGGGCAGCGGGGCGGCCGCGGGCGGCCACGCGGGCGACACCTCGCCGGGCTCCCCCGAGCGGGCGGCAACGGCGCGGCCACGAGTCGGCCACGGGCGGCGGCCCGGCCTTGCACCGCGCCGACCGCAAAGGCCGCGCTGCCTCCAAACGCATCCGCCCCGAGTACGTCTGCAGATGTAGCGACATCTACGCTCGAGACTACACAGAGAGATAGGCTACAGTACGTACGCCTATAGTGTGCCCACACACGCCTGAGGCCACACGGAGAGAGGCAGACTTGCCCTCCGACACCCCCTTGTTCGCGCCGCCAGTGGTGCGGCCCCCCCTTCGCCGCAGCAAAACCTTGCCAGACCCAACCGATCCCTTAGAGAGAAAAGTAGGAACCCCTGAATGCAAGCACTCTGCGGCTACGAGGCGGCCACGGGCGGCAACGTGGAAGACTTGTCGGACCCACCCAGCGCACGAGGCGGCAAGAGGCGGCAACGTGGCGAAACCTCCTCGGACCCACCCAGCGCACGAGGCGGCCACGAGAACGGCCACGGGCGGCAACGTGTCGAAACCTTGTCGGACCCACCCAGCGCAAGAGGCGGCCACGAGAACGGCCACGGGGTGAACGTGGCGAAACCTCGCCAGACCCACCCAGCGCACGGGACGGCCAAGAGGGCGGCCACGGGCGGCAACATGGCGAAACCTCGCTGGACCCTAACAGTTCCATAGTTAGAAAAATCAAGCCCGACGAATTTAAACAGCCCCGACAAATCTTGCCGCCAAGCCGCAGTCGAACGGCTTTACCTCCTGCTTGCCATGCGGCGCCGACCAACGGCGAATCATGTCACCTGCTGTCGCCAATCCTCAAGGTGATGAGACGGCAATGACCCCATGGCACAGCGGATTTGACAGGATCACGCTGCCTTCAAAAGCAGGCGCAGACACCACAAAGTGTAACGTGGCGTCGAGCAAGAGGTGGCACACAAGGGCATAGACATGGAGGTGACGGTCCTCAATCTCTATCCCATCAGGGGCCTCCTCAGCTGCAGCAGGCTTCTTCGCAACCTTGTCTCAGACATAGATGGATCACATATCGCATCGGTTCATGCTAGCGCTTCAGCGTATGTACTCTCAGTATGCGATCATGGACGCCTCGAGATTGTAAATGCGTCAGGTGTACGGAATATTACAATGACCACGACAGGAAAGGCGACGACCCGCGCTCATGGCGCCGAGCAGCCACAGCTTAGCAGTCGGCTCGCTTCGACTTCCAACTCTGCGAAATAAGGATTCAGTATAGCACAACCCACCCACCCCACGCCAGCCAGGAACCCCACCTCCGATCTGGTGATCCAGGGGGTCCTTGCTGGGGGGGGGGCCCTGGGGGGCTAAAGAACCACCCTCATCCCCAGCCAGGACCCCCTGAATCACCACGTCGAGGGTGGGGGTCCTGGCTTGGGGCGGCGGTGGGTTGTGCAGTCCCCAAGGTTGACACAAAAACCAAGTCGAGCTGATCAAGTGAATGATACAAGGACAAATGATTATGTGCCCCAAATGTTCGATGCTTCCATGTCTACATCAAGACAGCTCACGCGACCCCTGAGCGTCTTCAAACGATTCCTAATCTACCATATGGCAGCCCCAGACGGTCCCAGCAGCCCCAGGGTAGCCCCGAAAGTTCCCAATTATCCCACATCTTCTACTTCTGCTCATGCTCCTCGTCCCATCTGTCTTCTCGTAAGGTGGATTGGTTGCAGTTTGTTCAAACGCGATTCCTTTCCCAAAGAAAGCATCGCATGGCGCGAGTTCAGGTCATCATAGTCTTCCTTATCAGCGCTGCCCAAATACGTAGACGTGTCGTGCGAGCTGAAGCTTGTGAAGCGCTTCGGGAGAGGTGTTGACTCGATCTCCTCGAACGGGAGATTTGGGTGAGGGAATTATCAGCCCCTCATTGCATGACATGATCCCCCCCTATGTGAATGGGAGGTTTTTTGTAAGCGCCTCTCCCACTCTCCGACTGCCTCCAGCGCGTCGCTGCCTGCGTGGCCCGACGCCAACAAAAATGTGTAGGTCGTAAAGTTCGTGAGGTGTTCCTTGCGGGTGCCGGTTTGCTGCCCCAAGGCGTGAGCGCCACTCCTGAATAGAAAAATCGAAGTGTCGAGCTGGGTTCTGCTGGAGGGCCGATTCTCGTCGGCGAGCAAGAGCACCAGTGCGGAACATTGTGGAAATATAGAGCGGGAACATTGTTGTTGTTGTCGTTGTTTTTGTTGCTGTTGTTGTTACTGTTGTTGTTGTTGGTGGTGGTGGTGCTGCTGTTGTTGTCGTCGTTGTTGATGTTACTGTTGCTGTTGTACGGGGGCCGGTTTGCAATGTCGAGGCGAAAGCGCCTCTCCTGAGCAGAAGACGATATCAAGCGAGAGCACTCGTTTTGTTGGAGGGCTGGCTGTCGGCGGCGAGCAAGGACTCCAGCTCTGATCGCTCTGCAAAGCGAGCAAGCGATAAAAACGCATCGAACGGGAGCGTTGCTGTTATTGTGGGGGGGCTGGTTTGCGACGCCGAAACGAGAACGCCTGCCCTGAGTGAAAAACGGAAACGTACTGAGCGGGAGGGTTGGTTTTGCTGGAGGACCAGTGGTCGGCGGCAAGCAAGAGCGACGGTCCTGAGCTTCAACAAGTGAAATCGAGCGGGGTTGTTGTTATTGGGGGGGCAGTTTCGGCGGAGCCCCGACACGCTCGAGCGTAAGCTTCGCCTTCAACGACACTGTGGCCAGCGCCGAGGCGAAAACGCGAGGGCGGACAGGGGAGGTTCAAAGATAGCTGATGAGTGGCTAGTATCGAGGATTCCGCAATCAAGTTGAGACGGTTCGCTTGTCCTGTCTGGCGTGCCGTTCAACATGTATACCCCAAACTCTCGACACCAGCCCTGCTCGTCCATGAGCGTGCCCCCCTTCGGGGGCACCTTTGTTATGCCAGCTACTGGGTAAACCTCGAAAGGGCAAGAGAGGCGGGTTGGGCAAGCAGACACGAACAGGCAGGTCGGGCGGACGGACCCTACTGGGCGTGCCGGGCGGGCGGAACCCAGCGGGCGGGGCGGGCGGGTAGGCCCTAGCTGGCGGGCCGGGCGGGCGGTACATTAGAGCAAAGCGGGCGGGATTCCGAGCCAGCCAACGGGCGGGCCCTAACGGGCGCTCAGGCGGGCGGGACATGAAGCGGCCGGGAGGAGGTGGCAGACCTGACAGTCGGGCGGGGGGGACATTAAAATGGGCGGGCGGGGCTCCAGGCAAACGAACGGGCGGACCTAACGGGCGGGGCGGGCGGGCGGACCCTAACGGGCCAGTCCAGTAGGCGGACCCCAACGGTCAGATCGGGCGGGTGGACCCTGAAGGACGGAATGGGCAGGCGGGACAGTAATGCGCGGGTTGCGACAAGATCGACCGGAAATCCCAGGCAAGAGCACGAGTTAGAAAAAAAAATGTTGGGGAAGTTCTGAGAGGAAGTAAGATACCTCATCGGCGAGAGCGCAAACCGTCCAGATAATGTGGTGCGCGTTCCCATGCGAGAGCGCGAGTCCTGAGCGGCGAAAGCGCGACTCTCTGAAGAGGAGGCCAGAGCGGGACCCCTGAGTATATCGCAAGGGGTTCTCGAGTCAGAGCGCGATTCCTCAATAAGCTGTGAGGAAGTCTCAGGCGGGACCTGTGGTTGTTGTAGTCGGGGGTCAGTGACGCACTTTGAGCATCAAGACTCCCCCTCGTAGGAAACCAAGTGCGAGAGCCGCATGGAGCTCTTCATGTGCGAAGCGCGGTCACAGGTGAAGCGGGATCACCAAACAATATGCTTCATGAATGCGACTCCAACAGCAATCATGTCTAGACTGCTCGCGATCCCTGCGTCCGAAACCATTGACACCCAGGTCTCTTCATCGATGCAAACAAACAGTTGGGGGGACTCCGTTTTTCTGCTACCTACTGAATTCATCCTGACAAAGGAAAAGAGGCGGGCCGGGCAGGCGGGCCCTGACGGGCTGGTCGGGCTGGGCGGACCCTAACGGTCGCCGCGGGCGGGTGGGCCTTTACAGGCAGACCGAACGGGCGGGACTTCAAAGCCGGCGGGCGAGCCCAACCAAGCGAGGGGGCAGGCCCTAACGGGCGGGTCGGGCGGGCGGACAATGACGGGCGGGACGAGCGGGCAAAACCCAACGGGCCGGTCAAGCGAATGGATCCTAACGAGCGGCCGAGTTGGCCTGGCAGGGACATTCAGTCGCGAGTCCTGAATAGATTGTAAATGGATATCGGCTGGGGCCGACTGGTAGCGTGTCAGAAACTCCTGGACGGAAGTGTACTTCCTGAGTGGTCGGCGAGCGATTGATGAACAAATTCGGAGGAAGTCCGAGGGGAGAGCGACATCCTCAAAGAAATAAAGAGCAAGTCTCAGGAAAGATCGCGATTGCTGAGCACGTTGAAAGAATTCTCGAGCGAGGATACGATTCCTGAAAAAGTTATGAAGATGTCTTAAGCAGGAGCCGTTGAATTCTCGTTCCTTCAGAAGCATGATTGTTGATCCCCCCTCTCTGGGCGGGCTAGTTGGCCCCCGAACTACAACAACATCAACAACAAGAACAACAATCAGTTTCAGAGAGTTCGCTCTTATCTGCTCGAGTGCCAGTCAACACGTATATCCCAAACTCTCTATACCCACCCTCTTCGTCTTCGATCGTACCCCCTGATGGGGTATATCTTTCTTACCTGCAACGTGCATTTCGTGCAGCACCTAAGACAAGGAAAGAGAGAACGGATGGAACGAAAGGACAAGGGGGAGGGAGGAGGATGGAGCACGAGAGAAAGTAGCAGGAGACGGACAAGGGGCAGAAAACACGTGGCAGAACCAGACGGGCAGATCGGGCGGGTAGACCCTAACAGGCGGGTCGGGAAGGCGGGCCCAGGCGGCCAGGTCGAGCAGGCGGGTTGCTGAAGCGTGAGTCCTGCATGAATCGCGAGGAAGTCTCGAGCAATAGCGCGAATCCCAAATAAATCTTTAGAAAATCCACAGCGAAAGCGTGACTCCTGAGTGTCGAGGGCGCGGCGTCTGGATGAATTGCGAGGAAGCCCCACACCAGAGCACTTCCTCTAGAAAGTGTGAGGAAGTCCCGCGCCAGAGCGCGATTTGGAAATAAATTGGCAGGAAGTAGCAAGTGGGAACCGCTGTTGTTGTAAACTGGGGGCCGACAATACAATTTGGTGACACCCTACTTTCCCTCGTTTAAAAACAGGGTGCGAGCCCTGGGAGAAGCACTGGAACTAAAAAAACAATGTTTACCGGAAGAGGGGATCAACAATAATTACTTTTCAAAAATGAAAATTCAACGGCTCCCGCCTGACACTTCCTCACACTTGATTCAAAATCGCGCTCTCGCGCGGGACTTCCTCACAGTGTATCCAGGAATCGCGCTCTCGCTCTGGACATCCTCGCAGTTTGTTGAGAAGCCGCGCCCCCGACCCTCAGAGATGACGCTCTCGCTCTGGCCTTCCTCACGACTTGCCTGGAATCGCGGCAGTGGAGGCCAGTCCACCAGACACCTTCCACGAGAGACCCGACCCTGAGAGACCCCAGGACGTGCATCGATTTTCGGGGGGCGAGAACGTCGCGCTCTCCATCGCAAAACCATGGAGACCCAAGAAACCCAGGGCACCCTGGAGGCAAGCAGGGTTTTTCTTGGCATGGGTCTCCACTGTACGCTGTGTTCCCAGGAAGCCCAGGGCACCCAGGAAGCCATCGAGACCCGGGAAGCCCAGGGCACCCTGGAGGCCCGCCGGGCGCTTCCTGGCCTGGGCCCCCGCCGTGCCGCTCGAGACAGCTCCCCGCGACGCGTGCGGGACCGGCGCTCGAGCGGCCCCCGGCCGTCTCGGGCCCGCACGCCCGCGACGCGCCCGTGGGGGGTCCGGCCGCCCGACCCGCCCGTCGGGCTCTGCCGCTCGGTTTGACGGGGGCCCTGGGGCGCAGAGGTAAACACTTGTTTGATCCGCGGGTCGAGAGCGCACCTCTTCCGGTCGAAGCTGAGCGGGCCGCGCGAAGCTTGAATTAAGCAGAGATTGGGGGAGGAAAGGGGGGGCGCAGCCTCACGCAGAGATAAACACACGTCGGCCGGAAGAAGTATAGGCAGAAACATGAAGCAGGAAAGCGGATATAGTAGATTGGGTCCAGGTCCTCCCAGAGAATCCAGAACAGAGCAAAAGCATGCCGATTCTTGAAGTAGGAGGGCGCTTGAAGTAGATTGGGATCTGGGAACCCAAAAATACCTACTTTCAACGACCGGCGAATACACCTAAATCCCAGGATGCCCCACATACATTCTCTCAATTTTTTCTGGATTCTCTCGTCTTCCCCCTCCCTCTTCCCACATGTTCCCATCTATTTTTCCCTGGGGGTCGACGCATCGCTGTGTCTTTGTTTCTTCCCATCCTGATGAATTCCTGCTCCTACCCCCCCTCCTGCTGATCTCTCTCGTGCTCCATCCTACTCTCTCCCCCTTGTCCCTTCCCTCCTCCCTCCCTCCCTCCGTTTAGGGGATGCGCTGGCTACACGTGGCAGATAAGGAACATATGCCCCCAACGGGGGCACGACCGAAAACGAAGAGGGCGGGTATCCAGGGTTTGGGATATACACGTGAATGACACGCGAGCAGATAAGACCAAAAATCTGAACATGATTGTTGTTGTAGCCAGGAGATCAGCAAGAAGTACTCAGAGGAAGAGGAAACAAGAAGAAAAAACTTCCACGCCAACTACGCCAACAACATTATGAGGTCCATCTACCTCGATCAGGCTTCCCAGGCGGAAAAAAAACTAGGCCACGAGTCCGAATCGCGATGGTCATTACGATCATTGTCATGCCACGCCAGATCCTCACTGTGAGCCGCAATTATCAATCATACCAATGCGCATCACGCAGTCAACAGTCAAGGCTACGAGCGCGAAAGGAATAGCGTGGCACACAAGTGCATCCGCTCGATCGGATGCCGAACAGCAAAGGCGACCACATATTCGATGGCAAGATGCAAGTCTGATCGCCCTCGCACAATTATCGTACTGATCGCCGCTGCCACCACCGCAACGATCCTCCTCCCGATCGGATGCCGACCTGTTCTTGGTCCCCTTCTGGCAGCGAAGTCTGCACCGACACAGCTGCCGCAGGCTTCTTCATCACGCTGGCGGTCTCGTCGCTCGCCGGAGTCTTGTCTTGAAACTCCTTCGGCGGAGGCCACCGTAGCAAGTGAAAGGATGCCTGCGATGCGCTTCTCCAGGAGCCTCTCATGAGCACATAGGGCAGGTCCCAGAATCGGCGGTGGACAAACCTCCCTTTAGTATACCTCCCCTTAGTGAAAACGGCCTGGGACCGAAACCGACGGACCTGGACCCGCAGAAATGACGGCCGCGACGCCCTCTCGCGTACCGAAAACGGCCAATTCCTTAATCGACGTGTCAGGGTAGGAGGTCTGTCCACCCCCGACAGAAACCCTGGATCAAGAAAAAAATAGCATCTCCTAGGGATGCAGCTATTACTTCCGCCGGCCTTCCGCTGGCGTCCGCCGGCGGAGCCGCCCTTGTTTCACATCCGCCGCCTTTCGCCGAGGAAGAGCTCCTCCTCCTCCTCCTCCTCCTCCTCCTCCTCCTCCTCCCCCTCCTCCTCCTCCTCCTCCGCTTCCTCCTCCTCAACACCCCTCTTCTCTTCCTCCTTCTTCCTCGTCCTCCTCCTCCTCCTCCTCCTCGTCCTCCTCCTCCTCCTCCCTTGTCATCGTCCTAAAGACGAGGACCTTTCTGGAGCGCCCAGTGATGCGCGACCAACAAGCAGGGTGATCAGATAGCAGTGAGACAACCATGACACGCAGTGCGCCGACCGCGGATCTGGCTCGAAACAGGCATCAGACACGCAAGATGCGGCACGAAGCTACGGGACGACCAGAGGCTACCTACTACTTACCTGGCAGATAAACTTGGGGTACCTATGGCGCCGTCAAAAGAAACGCATGATACCAGCGCGTGGACTGAAAACGACTTAAGACGGCCAGGTATTCAATTGAGCCTGGAACCCCACGGGCTGGACCCTGTGAGAAACAGCCACAGGCCCTGGCACACAGGGGCAGCTGAGGCCAGGACCATGTGGCCACCAGCTCTAGGCTCCCGCACACGAGGGGCACCCGACGCCAGGGTCCTCTGAGCGGGATCCTGAAGGCAACCACCAATCATGGCACGCAAGGTTCACAAGGCCACGACCCTGGGGCAGGACCCGACGGGCGCCTACCAAGTCCAGCACATCAGTGCTGTTCTTGTGGAGCAAGTACGACCCCCTCGGTACAAGCACTGATCGGGGGAACAAGGCTGATGCCAGCAGAAAGACGCCAAGGTGAAGTAGATACGAAATGACCCTAGACGTACCCAACCCCTTCTCCATGCGAGGCAAATATTGGTATGAACGCTCCGTACTACAAAAAAACACCACTATCACCACCATCACCCAAACAACAAAACGCCCAATGTGCACCATCTGCGCTGCCGTCATCTCCACGGTACCTCCCTGGAGCCCACGAAAGTGGCGAAGGTTGGCGCATGTCGCAACCACCCAGAGAGTAGCGAGGTCCTGCCCGGGTCCGGGTGTACCTACGACTCCGCTGGATCTCCCAGAGGCCCACGAAAGAGGTGACGGTTGCGCAGTTCGGAGCCACCCAGGGAACAGGGAGGTCCCGGATGGGTCCGCGTGGCCCCCGACTCCGCTGACACCCCCAGGAGCCCACGAAAGTGGCGACGGTTGCGCAGTTCGCAGCCAACCAAGGAGCCGCGAGGTCCCGGATGGGTCCGCGTGGCCTCCCACTCCGCTGGACCTCCCAGGAGCCCACGACAGCGGCGACGGTTGCGCAGATCACAGCTGCCCAGGGAGCCGCGAGGTCCCGCCTGCGTCCGCCTGTGCCTCCGCTGCACCTCCCAGGAGTCGACGAGAGTTGCGACGGTTGCGCAATTCGTAGCCACCCAGAGAGTAGCGAGGTCCCGTCTGGGTCCGCGTGTGCCTCCGACTCCGCTGGACCTCCCAGGAGCCCACGAAAGAGGTGACGGTTGCGCAGTTCGGAGCCCCCCAGGGAACAGGGAGGTCCCGGATGGGTCCGCGTGGCCCCCGACTCCGCTGGCACCCCCAGGAGCCCACGAAAGTGGCGACGGTTGCGCCAACCAAGGAGCCGCGAGGTCCCGCCTGGGTCCGCATGTGCATCCACTCCGCTGGACCTCCAAGAAGCCCACGAAAGTGACCCGGTTGAGCAAGTCGCAGCTGCCCAGGGAGCCGCGAGGTCCCGCCTGCGTCCGCGTGTGCCTCCGCTGCACCAGGAGCCCGCGAAACTGGCGACGGTTGCGCAATTCGCGGCTACCCAGGGAGCAGCGAGGTCCTGCCTGGGTCCGCGTGTGCCCCCGACTCCGCTGGATCTCACGAGAGCCCACGAAAGTGGCGACGGCTGCGCAGTTCGCAGCCACCCAGGGAGCCGCGCGGTCCCACTGGGTCCGCGGGTGCCTCCACTCCGCTGGGCCTCCCAGGAGCCCACGAAAGCGGCGACAGGTGCACAGTTCGCGGCCGCCCAGGGAGCAGCGAGGTCCCGCCTGGGTCCGCTTGTGCCTCCGCTGGACCTCCCAGGAGCACGAAAGTGGCCAGGGTTGCGCAATTCGCAGCTACCCAGGGAGCAGCGCAGGAGAAGGTAGGAGGATGAAGGCGGAAAACGAGGAGGTGGGGACCAGTGCTCTGTTTAGAACGAGGGTCCAACGCAGGAGGGCTGAGAATAATATAAACTTGAAGACTATGCCTGGGTACGCAAACTACCAGGTGGCAGCACGATTAGTCTTACGATCACGAGGTAGCTGTGGAGTGCAAATCGAATACGCACGTATGTGTGGGAATGGCCTGGCCTTGTCAAGGCGGGTGATCCGTCGAGGTGAACAGTGTCAGGATATGTGCAATGAAGCTGTGAGCTAGCTGCAAGGCAGCTTTGTTAAGGCAGCTGCGCGACGTGAGTGAGATCAGCACGAGGCCCCTGCGCGGCTGAGGCGACGCGAGTGCAATGCATGTACGTGTGTATGTGTATGTACAGGTCCGCCACGGCGCCCCGAGGCACGAAGTGTAGTCCCATCAGGTCCCGAAGGGTCCTCTGGATTGAAAGCTGTGATGCTTTTCAGAAAGGCCCACGGCCCAGAGTTCCGGGCGCTCTTGGGCGCTCCTCGCGCTTCTAGCGCATTGTCGCGTGCCTCTTCCAGAGCAACAGATGGCCGAATGCCGAATCTTCCCCATCTCAGCGGACCAACGCCCGTAGAAGCACAGGAACAGAAAGAGCGGCACTGAACAAGACCAGTCTGAGGCAAGAAATGGTGAAACATGAAACTCTAGTATCACGACCGGCTCACGTGATTTACCATGGTCGCAACCACGGGGGAAGCGTGGAACAATTGAAAGAGCATCGTCACGCTGACCCGTTCAACTGTTTGACTGTCCCTGAGGGGACTCTCCCCGGCGTTCTTGAGGCCCTAACAAGTCCTTTTGAGGCCATCTTGGGCCACGTTTCAGAAGACGATCAGACACTCCTGGAAGCGTAATCACCAGAGTGGCCACAGTGGCTCCTCCAGTGGCCCCCAGTAGCCCCCCAGTGGTACCCTGCAAGCCTCTGACGGCATCAAATGGCTCCTCCAGTGGCCCCGTGTGGCCTCCTGCGACCTCCAATAGCCTCTCGGCCTCCAACGGCCCTGATAGCTCCAATAAGTCTCCGCCTGTTCCTCCAACGACTCCTCTGATGGCCTCCAGTGGCTCCTGCAGTGGCCTCCAGTGGCCCCCAATGGTCCCGAGTGGCCCCTCCAGTGGCCCCCAGTGGCCTCCAAAACGAGAAGGGCGTTGAGCCCCCGCGGCGCCGCTGGCCAGCAAACGACGCAAACAGCGAAGAAGGGGAATGAGGAGATGCGAGCACAGGGGAAGGACGGACGCCACTGAAAAACCCTTGGGGGCGCAGGCAAACCACTGCAGACCGCTGGAGGCACAAGAGAGCCAGACGAAGTGACAGCAAAGGGCTGCCAGGACTGTCCTCTGAACAGTCTTGGTTTGGGCAGCCCGTTTGGACCATCTGTGGTGTTCTGGTTGCCCTTCGTCGAGACGTTATGTGACCCTCCACGGGCTCTCCTGGCGCTCTCGTTGTGCCCTCTGGGGGGCACGTGGGGCCTTCTTGGGCGCCTCCTGAATTCCTCTTGGGTCGGGAGCGGCAAAGAGGGGGGTGTCCAAGAGGGGGGGGTGCAAATCATGACCTGCGGCATGTGCGCGGCCCAGCGGGGGGGCCAGGGACGTAATAAAATAAGAAGAGGCGCCACGAGATCTGGGGAAATATCATGGCCCCCGCCATGATATCCACCCCCCCTAGTCATCACCCCCCTCTTTTCCGCCCCCGATTGGGGTCGTCTAGGACCGTCTAGGGTCGAGGACCACTCCCGGGCAATCTCCAGGTCTCTGGGGGCGTAACTGTTGACCCTAATGATTTTGTCGGCGCGCCGCTCCTGAGCCGATCCGTGTGACCACATCCTCGAGCAACTCGTGAAGAGATAACACATCATGGTGGTGCAGGAGAGGTGCATGGACCCTCTTCATCGAAGCAGCTAGTAAATGCCCTGCCACTGCTCCTGAACACTATTTGCGGCATGCTCGTGCCTGTGTTTTGCGAAGGCCAGACATGCGCCAAGCAGCAACAGAAAGTCACACTGGCCATCGTCATCACCCACGGAAAACGCCACAGCAATGCCATCGCTTCTAAACGGGAATTGTGTGGCTAAATCCTACAACTCGTGTGCAAAACAATCATACTGCCGGCACACACTGGCACGGACTGGCCACAGCCAGCGGCAAGTGCCTCTCTCCTGAGCAAGGCAAGTGTCGGCTGGTTCCTGGCTCCCCTGCCACCTGCGCTCAGCAGCCACGCTCCACATTTCACTCGCCGATTTGCCCACGGATTGCATGAGGCGTCCAAGAGGACGTCTTCAAAGGCTCCCTGGGTGGATCGGCTCCTTCACCTGCTTTGCGGTGTAGTGCTCCAGGTCCCCGTCGCAGTACCTGACGATAAAGGGAAGAAGGTGGGGATGAAGGGACCCGCGCAAGTCGACCCGCTACACGCAAGAATGGCCTTGGGCCAGAGTGTGACCTCTGGCGCTCGGCTTGCCGATCCGTGCGTTTGGTGCGGCCGCTGCCGTCACGTGCAGAAGTGCAGAGGAGAAGGAGAGGAAGAGGAGGAGGAGGAGGAGGAGGAGGAGGAGGAGGAGGAGGAGAAAGAGGGGGGAGGAGGAGGAGGAGGAGGAGGAGGAGAGGAGGAGGAGGAGGAGGAGGAGGAGGAGGAAGCACCCCCGCCCCCGCGCCCCCGAAAGCCGCGCACCAGAGGCCGCTTCGGCGAAGGGCCCCCCCCCCTTTCCGTGGCCGAGGAAAAGGTCGAGCGGAGAGGGCGCTGTAGGGGACGCGCCGACCCCGGGGGGGCTCCGCCGGGGCCGTGCCCAGAGCCCTGCCGCGGGGCGTGCGGCAGCTCAGCCTGCCCTGGGCCAGCGGAGGGAGGTGCTTACAGGATCGGCCCCAGGCGGCCCCCCACTATAGGGAGCCCACGAAGGACGTACGCGCCCAGCTATGTACATGAATACAGCCCCTTGACCCGCGAGACCCGCCGCGTGGTACGAACACTCGCGCAGTGCGAACTCTCGAAACCAGCGTGGATTCATGTACGCGTACGTCCTCCGTCCGCTCCTGACACTGGGGGCCCCGTGGGACCGATCCAGTCAACACCTCCGGCCGACCTGGGCCTGGGGGCCCCCCAGACAGAGGTCGGCCAGGGCGCACTGGAGGGGAGCGGCTGACCTCCCGCTTCGCGCGGAGCGGCTGCTGCCGCTCGGGCGCTCCAAGATCGGGCCTCGGAGGAAGCCTTTCGGAGCGAGATGCCGGGATCCCCGGAGAAAGCTGCGCCCTCGACGACGCGCCGCTGGCGCGGACCCTGGACGTGTGTGTGTGTGCGTGTGTGTGTGTGTGTGCGTGTGCGTGTGTGCGTGTGCGTGTGCGTGTGCGTGTGCGTGTGCGTGTGCGTGTGCGTGTGCGTGTGCGTGTGCGTGTGCGTGTGCGTGTGCGTGTGCGTGTGCGTGTGCGTGTGCGTGTGCGTGTGCGTGTGCGTGTGCGTGTGCGTGTGCGTGTGCGTGTGCGTGTGCGTGTGCGTGTGCGTGTGCGTGTGCGTGTGCGTGTGCGTGTGCGTGTGCGTGTGCGTGTGCGTGTGCGTGTGCGTGTGCGTGTGCGTGTGCGTGTGCGTGTGCGTGTGCGTGTGCGTGTGCGTGTGCGTGTGCGTGTGCGTGTGCGTGTGCGTGTGCGTGTGAGAGTGCGTGTGCGT